AAGGTTGGTGCCTCCAAAAAGCCGATGAGCCCAATAGAAACTCGATCGCTGAAGAGATATCGACAGTTTCCTTCGGTGGATCGGATTGTCTAGGCTACTCTACTATACCAGAACAGAGGATGAGTCGCCCATCCAGACATGTGATGCTGTACCAGCGAGGTGAGTTTGGGTAGTGGACACGATAAAGGGGTGGTGTTAGGAATGCAGATGAGAGAAGATAGGCTGAGGAAGGTAGAGCGAGTACAAGAGGAGAGGAAAATGGAAGAGGTGACAATACTTGTTTGCACCCCAGGAGATCGTCAAAAATTTTATAGACAGCGTGTCCGAGTGGTTAAGGAGGTGGACTCGAAATCCACTAGGCTCTGCCTGCGCAGGTTCGAATCCTGCCGCTGTCGTTTTATTTCTTTTCTTCCCTGCGGTTTATAAATATATCCCTTCAGCTCGCCTCCTGTACCTTCAAGCCGCGTACACGGGGCAGCTCTTCATCCGGTGCTCCGAGCTCTTCATATAAGGAGGATACAGATGCTTCTAACCCTGAGAAGAAAGTGAGACAATTGCATCGTCTCGGACTGCAAACCCCTTTCAATCTTAGAGTGCAAATCCTCGTGGCTACAGTCAAGCTGTCAGTCGTCTGCAACGCGGCTATAGAGAGAGGCAATTGGTGCGGGAAGTCGTAGAGAATAGAGACCCGGATGGTACTGCGATGCAGCAGCTGTTACGGAATCAAAAGGCTGGTGACACGTCCAAGTGTGACACAACCATATCCCTGATACAGATGAGCTCCATCGTGAATATGATTTCAGTTCCGAGTTCACTCCTGGTTCCCGGAAGTCAACTACTTGGCTGCCACATGGCGGCGCTCCACTCGGTCGTAGGACGGGTAGGAGAGGAGTGAGACGAGCCCCGCCAGACGGTGATGCCCCGGCTACCTCGATATCCCCACCAACTACTGAACGGAATAAGAAGAACTTGTGGGGCGTCTTTTATACTCAAGACGACTTTCTACGACTTTGTAAATTTTAGGCGAACATCTGACCACATGATAAGACCGAGCTCTAATCGGACACCAAACAGTGGGCGTCTGAGTGTGAAGAGGGAATCACCATATGCTCGGCTCCCATCTATAAGCAAACGGAATAGTCATTCAAAAGGTCGGGGACGATCTGCTCGGACTGATGCTGAATGGATAGAGGTTGAGGTGACGAGAAACACGGAAACAGGGGGCGATCGACGATACGTAAGGTCTTTTGAGTTCCATTAGAGCAGCGCCTCCCTTGATGTTCAGGTGGTTGGTAAACTTCTTATTCAAGAGGGGCAGCCTCCTCGAGCAATCCATGAGGCCGTTATGGCATTCAGCCAGAAGCACAGACTAAAGGCATCGGAGATAGTCGAATTGCACAAAGTGGGCCTACTGCTCAGGTAGTACTTGGAATGTGCTTGCCATCAGGTGTTGAAGCATAAATTGGATACGAAAGATTATGACGATATCCCCGCAGAGAGCGATAAACTCCAAGAGTGTCCAATATCTTCTCCATGCCTAGAAAACTCCACACCGCCTCACGTCAATGCGGGCGTAGATCCCAATGGCAAACGTAAGCCTTTCGTGATACCAGTCTGTGGATAATGGTTGTAGCTCCCTTCTCAAGCCCAAGACCGTCCCACCTCCACTCTCCCTCGGCTTCTATCGAATCGCCCACCGAGGCTGCCGCTATCCCGGGAAATGCAGCAAGTGCGCCAAATGACTGCGAGCTGAGTTTCGGCAGCAGTTCCAGTCTGGAGGAGAATCTCCATCGATTTGATCAATCGAGTCTCGAAGGAGCAGCCAATCCGCAAGGGACATCCTCTGCTTGATTGTTTTATTTATCATTGCCTTTCACAGCCTTCGTTAATTAAGCTTATACGTCGCACTATTTCATAATGATGAACATGTGCATTTTCAACCACTACATTGGTTCGTGTTTATTCCGAGAACCTTGTAAGAATATGTAATAACACGCAACACATCATTGCACTGTAGTAGCCAAGCAAGTGACCTATCAAACATCCATATCCTCCCTCGATCTTTTCATGACAGTTCGAGGCATCACACATGAAGATGGTAGAAAATCGTCATCATCATCATCGTTGATATCACCACCATTATCATCACTCCCACCAAACTTGTCACTCATGGGACAACTGTTCGAGGTGCTTGGATCGTCCAGGACGTGGTCCCGTAGGCACGCCTCAACACACATCTCTACTTCTTTGATCTCCTCCGTCGAGACTGCAGCGACTGGCTGGCTTCTACCCGTCAAGTCCCAACTCTCACGTAGCCGTCGTCGTTTACTCCGGCCCTTGTCGTCATCGTCGTCGGAGTGTGTATGATCTCTCAGAGTTGATGCCGGTTCGCTCTCTACGACTCGTTCACCATAAGATTGTCCCGAACAGGATACCGTCGAAGGGCTGCGCCTATCATTGACTGGGCTGTAGACTTTTACCTCCCATTCGGGAGGCGGCGACTCACCCAGGAATACCTGACTTGAATTGGACTCACCTCTGTTTTGAGAGCTTACCCTACCTTCTCCAATTCTGTCACAACTTTCTCGCGAGAGGTAGAAGTCCATGATCCCATTTTTGATGTCGATCGAACTGGCGTAGCGAGATTGACAAGTGCACTCGTGCATCTGATCATTGTCATGTCGAGTTCAATGACACCGTCAGTGACCCTGCCGAGGCGACAAATTCAAGGAGACCATGGGGGAAAGAATGATCGACACCAACCCCAACAGGATGATAGTGATCGAGTGCCGATCGCAGCAGCGACGAGGGACTCCAACGTAGTTGGGGAGCAAATGTCTAACCCATCATGAGTCTTCTCTGGTCAGCGTTCGATAGAGGAGATCCGATCTGGTCTGCAAGCCTTCCACAAAAAGCGCCGACTCGAGAGGGCTGGCGAAAGTAGTGCACCAGTATCCTCCCCTGATGCCACTACCAGCAGCAGCAGCAGTACTGAAGGCGACTCAAGACTTCGAGAGTTCCATTCTAAATTTCTGTCCGCTCGATTAGGGAATCAGGCGTGAATGGTGTGGAGAGAGTTCTGTTAATATATTTGAAATGTTATCGAGAGTGTTTCTGTAATGAATTGGGATGGGATAAGGCAGATGGAATGGATTTTTTTATGGAATATTTATCTGTTTCTCCACGGATGTTCAGTGTAGTTAATGTGTTGGGCTGATATAACTTGAGACTAGTCGTGGTCATTCACCAGGTTGTGACACAGTTGTGCTCAGAGTGCCGCCGAGTGTATTTTAGTGTTCTGTATCCTCTCCATTAGCATTGTTTAAAGCAATGGAAATTTCACGAGTCCATTGAGGGTGACACTGAACTCAGCAAACACTCAAAGGACCACGACACACCACTCAGTGAGACCCTGGAACATATCAGGGTTCCAAGTTTAAGGGAGATGATGACTCATGAGAGTTGATGAAAATCATGGATACATATGGCGCTAGTAGGAATTGCTATGCACGATACGTCAGCAGAAAAATCGTAGATATATTCCTCGAATAGAATGACGCTGCCAAGTTGTTGACGGGGAGGACGCATGGGGGTTTCCGCATGAGTGAAAAAAAGGTGTTTCTGTGATTGAGCATTCATTGTGTTGGAAGTTGTGAACGCGAAGGACAACCAAAAAAGAAACAGGAGGAGAACATGGTCATGTGTCGTATATACGATAGTGTCCGATTGCAGCATCTCGTTGACTCAGCTGATCATCGTAGGTATCGGTTGTCGAGATTGTTCATTGCCACTCCGAGATGGAGGGTGGGATGAAGTGGGTGTCGATCCGGATACAGACTGATCGCCTATTACCACTTCGAGCACGGACTCTGGTGTTGGGCATACTCGTTGCGGTTGCACTCTTAGTTTGATCATAGTCTATCGAAAACATGCTGATGAGAATAGTGTCTGTTGCCTTACGCAGTGGCTGAGGCCTTTAGGTGGGACATGCCGACACATCGGACATGACAGTTGGGAGGAGCGGAACCAGTCCATAACGCATAGATAGTGAAGTGTGTGTGAGCATGGTAGTTGAAGCAGTGTATCAAGAGGAGATTCGAAGATGTCCTGCAGGCAAATAGGGCAAACCTGAACAGATCGTGTACTAGCTGGTGTCGCGAATCGTCGTGACCTGTCCCATGAACTCAGTCCGATCAGACGTGACACTTTTCAGTAGACGATGGTTCAACCTCAGTCTCCGAAGGACCTTCTTAAATCTACGCCATACTCGTGGCAAGAGATAGATCAATATGGAGAGAATGGAGGCCCCTGAGGAGACCCGATCCGGCATTCGAGTGGGAAGACGTACCACCGATGAAGCATCCGGACAGTAGGATAGCCAACTGCTGAACTGACCGGTCACCTCTCTTACCACCTAGAGGATGGGCTTCCTCACCAAGGCTCACTGGACTGTCTTCCCCTGAGTGCGGAGTGGTAGCCTCCGTAGGTGTTGGCGGGAGGACACCCTTCACTAGACGTGAATAGATATCACAGCCCTTGGGGACCACATTAACACAGTTCTCGTCAGTCATAACGATAGGGAAGGTGTTGTCCACTTGCCCGATGCCTCCAAGCGCTGCCCTCAGTAGGCTCTTGGGGCGAGTAACCTGTATGCGCCAACGTTCTACTGCCAGCAATGCAGAGGCTAGAGGCTGTCTTCCAGAACCCTCCTCTACGGGTACACTGAACACCGCGACGACGCTACCTGCTATGGGGTGTACTGTGAGGGCTGTAGAGGAGCCCTACCCTCAAAGACCCCCTCAAGAGAGATGTCTTCATGGGCGAATACCCTCTCGACTGCCCCAATAAGGGTTGAACGTCTGATGGTAGAAGGGTGCGCGGCCTTCAGCTTCAACAAGAGCAGCAGGAACGGAACCGTGATGGGCTCCGCTCCCTCCTGATGTACAACTCCGGGGTTATCAAATACTGTCACGTTTCCGAGAGGGAGGAAGTGGTCGCCATCGGACCGGAGGCAGTTGGTCGTAAGACACACGCAAAGCCTGAAGAGAAACTATCGGAGGAGGCTTCGAACTGGACCATCGTACGTGTATGATGATGCGACTCCAGGCGGGAGGGGGACTATACTGTAAACGAGCAGCTGTCTTGTGCCGTCAGTGGAATGTATCTATCGAGCAATTGTAACCGTTCATTTGGGCTAGTCTTAAACCTCAGTGGGGGGTACGGCAAGGTAGCGATCGTGATGGGGTGGAGACCGGCAAACTTCAGTGTTCGAGGCGAACATCAGCAACGGTAGTTGTGTGATATCGATAAAGGCCACGGAACTGTATGTGAATCGACGGAGCTCGCCGTGTTCACTATCGTACAGTGTAACTGCCATTGCTCCGCTCAGCTGCTCGCTGTTGGAGGCACTATATCCCTTGACATATTCCTCCACTTGGAAATCGCCATAATCTTGGAAACTGAGACGATGTCATCGGATGCATCATTGCAGTGTATTCCGCCGCACATAGCCGAACGCCGCTCCCTGGCTGATTCATCAGGAGGCCGCGATGTAGCACACACTCGGTATACCACGCCTGCCGGCAGTGGTCCTTGGGTTGGCTGACGTGGATAGCTGAGCGGCGGTTGGAGATGATGGGAGGGTCCAGTGGCACACACATCACACCTTGCAGTGATTATGCTCTGATTGAGAATGGACTGAGTTATCTTGAGGGATATCATTGATGCTTTCTGACTACAGGGAGGAATTGTTGAGGATGGCTCCTGAGCGGATGATGTATCCACGATGTGGTCAAAGATCTCACCAAAGCGACGTCTATATGTCGGGTGATGATCCTTCGGGAGAAGGAGACTGTCATTGGGAAGCCGTTGAACACACGAGACACGTTAAGGAGAGAAATGCCGGGGTCCACTCGTATGATACCGATGTAACTGGCCACGCTTGCTACATTAAAACATCGTAGTCATCACCTGAGCCTCTCCACCATGTTGGGTACTTCAACACATAGCTCGTGGTCAGCAGCTACCCGAGGATGCACTATTAGGGTGTAGTGAGACCCCTCGTATGTTACAGGAGCCTTCACTTGCTCTAATATAGAACTACATGGCTCAGCAGTCTGGCTCTGCCCTAGAAAGAATCTGCCGAATCGTACTGATGTTGTGGATGCTTGAAAACGAATAGTAGACCAGCTTCCAGCAGAAATTATATCCTCTGTTAGGAGAATGAAGCTCAGTGGCTTCGCTGGGATTATCGTCTCAGTTGATGGGACATCGGTCGGGGCGGCGACGGTATCTCCAGACACTTCCATAGTGCCCATGAAGGCCCACAGAGAGTGATCCTGTGAATAGTGGAGGCATAAGGCAAAGTTGCCGTGCGTAGACGGTGTAATGGTGAAGGACACCGAGTTTGGTGTAGACCTAGTTGACGGTTGTGGGCAGAGGGTAGGGTCGAGATTTCCCTGAGGATCCGGAAGGAAACAAGAGCCAACTGACGACTTCGCATACGTATGAAGTGCTGTCATCGTCACTGCAGTGGGAGAACGGGTCACCAACTGCTGTCGTACCTTGCTGGCAGGCTTCAGTGAGGAGGGTCGTCTCATCATCTACGGCCTGCACGATGATATATCAGTAAAACATCCAATTGGATGAAGCCCTACGATGAGCAGGAGGTGTAGAGGGTGACGATGCGGTAGGTATTGGCCGGTGATGTCAATCTGGCTCATTTGATGCGCACGACCACGAAGAGCACCCTCGACCACATCAACCTCGAAGTGGTGGAAATGTAATGCACGTATCCGGTATGTAGGGGAGGGTGAGGCTACCTCGAATAAGGTGATGGAGGTACATACACCCTCTCCACCACCAGCGAGCATGTTGCTCGTTACGACCAATGGTTCGCCGTAGTAAGATGCACAGAGGAGCGCTGTCCCCGATCTTGTGGGAATGGGAAGCGACAGAGTTGGCAACACTAGGATACTCGATCCAGTGTCTCCAACGGAGGTCTTCATGGCGACGTCGACGGCTGTGGGAGGTGAAGGAGGAATGAGCGTTGCAGTTCATAGCCTACCGCCAAGTATTGATACCACATCCCCCTGGACAATCGCGCCGTCAGCCCCTTGTGGATAGAGCCACAAGCTTATCGTGTCTTGCCAGAGCCATACGTCTACCCCTTCGACCTAGAAAGGATCCACGCCTCGGCGGAATCAGAGGCGTTAGGGGTGTGCCTACTGATACTGATCCTTTTGGTAGATAACTGCTACCGATGCTCACGTGAGTTGGACCTGTGATCCGACTGAACCCAGCCACCGTAACAGAGATGCCTGAATATGACACCCAATGTTAGCGACAGGTTGGACTCGATCAAGCCCACCAAGGTCCACAGTGAACCACCGAGCAGGAAAGCTGTCCTCATCCGAAGTGCAGTAAAAACAGATGCAGATGCGCTCCTTGTAACGTACTTGCCCAATGACAGTAGCTGTATCGATCGACAATGTACCATCCTACAAGGGGATCGATGGGGCCGTATCGTTGTAGATGATGAGCCAACCTCGGCTGTCACGGTGTCCAGCAACTCAATCATACCGGCGCTATCCTCTAGATGAGCGCAGCTGATGTCCACGCCCCTGGCGAGGCCTACTTCGATGAATCGCCAGTCGGTAGCTGACTCGAGGGATATCTGAACGACCCCTTAGTTGTCATCAATCCTGAAACCACTCTACCACAGTAGGACAGGGAGTAGTGGGAGACCTCGCCGTAGGCAGTAGACAATAGATTTGGGCGGGAGCATCTACGGCGACAACGGGTGTTATGTCGAGGAGGACGCTACCTGCAGAGACATGCTGGTTAGAGAGGAATACGGTACGGCATGAACAACGAACCTGCCTTGAGCCATGATGACGGTGGACCCTCAACTGAGAGAATTCTCAATTCTATATCAACCTTGCCGTGCCTCCTCAGGTGGTCCGTCACGGGTAGAATTTGGAGGAATCCACCCGATGCATCGGGGCATTCGAAGCCCGAATTCGTCACTAAGGATGCCCTGGCGAGAGCAGGGTAGCTCGACACACGGTGGAGGTTATCTCACGATTGTATGGCGTTGCACTCGTTGAAGGTTTCGGCCTCGACATGGTCTGCAGCCGTCCTCAGAGCGAGGCCGGTCAAAGGGGCGATGCCTTGCATTCTCACTGGTCCAAAGATGCACTCAAAACCTGGCAACTATAGCGGTTGGGAATCGCCGGCCGGTCGGCCAGAGGATCAAACCTTGATGTGTTTTCACAACAGTACAAGGGTACTGAGCAAGAGGGTCTGGGCCTACCACCCGTAGGGAGCCAACGTGGAACGTGAAGTGACGAGATGACACGCAGCCTTCAAAGTCGATGCCTAGAATAGCGATGCTCGCTTGCTCAAGTTGAGGACCGCTCACACAGGCAGATCGTGTATTGAGCTGGATGGGAGGAGAGTAGATCTGAAGGTACCGGAAATATCATTGAAGCTGCGTCCAGCTTAGTTGAATGCCAAATGGGGAAATTATCGCCGTCTCCAAGAGGAGGGCAATGACGACTCGGAGGAGTGGCATCCTCCACAAAGGATAGTTTGCTGCGATGAGGCAGCGGAGCGATGGTCATGTCGGCAGGGACCTCACACGGAAGGTAACCCATCGTGCAGTTCATCTGCTGCGACTAATCGATACACGGTGGGGATCCTGATGTGAGTAAAGTTACTTGTATGTAAGCAGCCTCGGGCTTCACTCCTCGGACCATGACCTCTGATTATAGTGATACCAAAAGAACCCTGCCTGGTGGTGTTGCTCACCTTTTATAATAATAGCCGTCATTCCACTGTTATGGACGGTGAGCTGGAGGGTTTTGTGAGCATCTTCTTGATTGGGTAAGAAGTGATAGGCGAGGGTCCAGCTCAACACATGAGGTGAACTGATCCATACTTCACCTAGAAAGGACGGTATTTGGGCAGAGAGGCAGAGATGAGGCCCACATAGTGTTCCAACTATGCAGTATTGTAAAGTATCTAGAGAGTCTGCAGATCTCGGTACTCTCCGTAGAACAGCCCTCGCAGAGTTGTAGGGTTCGACCTGATAAATCCACCTCCAGGTAAGATTTTTGGGTGTTACTTCTCACCACTGATGAGAGCGCTGATTCATTGGTATACTTTTGTGTGAGATCTATTTTGGAAACGGACATATGTGTAGGATCAGTCAGGCCCACATTTACACATCGTAAGAGTGGTTGCACTCTGCCAAAAGAGAATAGTTCTTGGAAAAGGGAAGTCATCAGGTTGACTCACTCGAGGTGGCCCAAAGTAATGTTGAATGCCTCTGACGAACTATTCGTGCGAACTTGTACATATATTCTGGCAGAATCGTTGGCTGTGAGCCCTGTAGGCATTGTAAGATTGAGGAGCGACTGCCCATGGGACTCCCTAAATACGCAGTATACTGTTCGATTTTGGCTGAACGGCAATGACGGGCGTACTCCCAATTGTAGGGAATCATAACTGGAGTTGCAGCCGCCTTCCAGTGCACTATTGATTGAATCTCGACGATAAGGTCACCCTCAAGCAGAGGCCCTAGCAGGACTTGGCCGTTGAAAAGGAGAGATGTTTGGTGTTTTTGACTCGAGGGATCAGCTATAGTTGGTGAAGTCGTCCATCTGTAGATGAGGAATGCAGCTAGGCACAGGGTGCGTCGAACCTTATTAGCTCGAGATCCAAGTAGAGTGTGTCGTTGATTGATGGGCAGTCTAGTGTGAGGGAGTGTGGTGACTCAAGTGATGATGCTGTATTAGATCGCAGGGCAAGGAGGAGATGCTGGTGTAGTTGATGACAGTGAATAACATCATATGAAGAACGTCGTATCTAAGGCATGATTCCCGGAAGTAGGAATGAGATTCTGCCCACTTGACAGGTTCTGGCACTGAACTTGGGGGTTGTGATGTTGACCAGCAGTGTATTGGGATCATCACGTGTGACGCACGCTGTGATTGATGGACAGTAGTAGAACAATGTATCGTAGTACACTGTGGCGGGAACTTCACTACGGAAGCATTGCAGGACTTGACGACTCCGGTTCTGATGGAGGAAGAGGATTTTCCAAAGCATCTTCTCACTGGATACTGTCACCTCATGGAAGGGTGATACAGGCTCTGATGGCACAACTTCTTGCCGAGGGCCGATTGCTTCTTCTCGATCATAGTAGAAAGGAACGGATAGTTTTGTGTTGAAGCGGGTATGGAAGGATAGGTTCGAATAAGTAGTGAAAAGAGGATCTGGCAAGCTTTCGATGGCTCGCCACCACTCCATATGAGAAGCTTCCCACCAATGCATGTGCTCAAGTTATACTCCTGATTCGAGGCAGCTCTTGAGATAGCAATGACTTCTTCCATCTCGAACGATGGATGAGAGAGGCACCATTGCATCATGTGTTGGTATCTACATCGTTACGCCCCAAGAGATGACCACGAGAAAGTACTGAAGAGCTTGCCTATGAGTGTCGTTGCATGCACTGATCACCCATTCGCCGACGTATCCATTGGGAATGTGCCAATCATACGGTGCCCACCGATCCAGAAGCTCTGCCAAGGAAAGGCTTTCAGATTGTAGTGGCTCTACTATGATAGGCGGGAGGGGTAAGACGTTCGTGTCTACAATGAGATGGATCATCCTTGTCGTACCCTATCTTGACATACCACCAACAAGAATCGGCCCGATCATGTCAACCAAGCCAACCGTAAGGGTGTAGTCTTCGGGCCATATACAACTCGAGTGATCACCGATTGAGTCGGCGATACAGAGGCAGATGCGGTAGATGCCACCAGACGTAATCGTTCGCCTTGGTATGTGCAATAAGGATCGACTAGAGGCTAAGTGGAGCCCACGCTTGTGGTAGACACCACAGACTGCTGCCGGAGTGATGTAGAAGGCAAACGTCTCACTAGTTGTGTCATTGACGGCGCTCTCTAGTGCGATGATGCAATCTGATGCGAGATGGACATGGTCGGGATGGTGACGCTACTCACCATTCCCCAAGCTACATACCACTTCCTCCGTCGCATACACCGGTACCGACGTGCCTAGGGATAGCAAAGGCCACCTTCAGGGAGCTAGACGGGAGCCTACAGTTAGGACAGATAAGCTGCGTTGGTGACGAAACGACACGGTCCTCGGTAGCGTCGGCCTTGTGAGCAAGCTTCTGTGATCGGCATAGGACGCAGACTCCCCTCACACCTCCCATCCATGGTAGAGGTAGGAGTGCAGCAGGATTAGAGTAGTACACCACCGTATCGAGGATCCTGATACAATGTTCAGGACGACCAGGAGGGGTCAGCCACATCGATAAGAATAGACCTACAAAGGGGAAGACAAAAAAACCAATCGGCGTCGTGTCACACTTCCGGGATGCATCTTCACCATGATGAGGGAAGTTGCCTCATCAACAAGAACTTCATCATAGCCCAAGACCTGCAGAGTGGTCTCCAGTGATAAAGTCTGGTTGAGATAGGCATATTGAATGTTGTACATCCCAGGCGGTAGGGGAGGGACTTGTGTAGTGCCGTCTAGAGCAAAGCTGATGTTAGACAGTCGGGAGGATAGAGGACTTACTTGCTTCTGCCACTTTCATGTCCATCGTACCATCGTCTTTTTTGAGCCTCACTTCCCCTTCCTCTCTATGAGTTATACCGTATAGTGACATATTGATGGCTGTATTGGGGTTGAACATTCCAACATAGACGACTTCGCTCCCTGCGACAGCCGCCCACCATGTGCCCGGAGCACGTACGACGATTTCAGCGCGGTATCGGCCAACTGTCACTACGACTGTATTGGGCTTACGAGGGCCTGGCTCCATGAGGCACATCGGAAGGAGTCCCGAGATATTCGGGAGGACGTCTCGAGCGGTGGTAGCAGGTTGCAAGAAGAATGCTGGCGCCATCACCGATGGTCTACCAGCAATGGGTACCGCTCTATTGACCAACCCTGCAGACCTGCGAGTGGGATTTGAGCACGAGGAGTTTAAGAGGAGGCTCACGTTCGAATATGGAGTCCTCCTCCTTGCTGAGGATTAGGGCCATCGGCCCATACCACTCCATTACGAAATAGTCCCATATTGAAGGATATGTTACTGTGAGTTAGGCGTCCCCATTGTATGAGCAGTAGGCTGTTGTTGTGAACGCTATACGACATGCTACCTGACAGACAGCAATCTATTGAGATGTCTGCATATGAGCACTGTCTATTACATCCATCATCCCAACATCCGATGCCTCCCATCGACGTTGGGTCGCTGAAGGCAAAGGCCGTCCAATAGCCTCTCCCATGATTAACAGTGATATAGCCTCTACTGGATACCCAAACGCCGTCACCCAGTGCCCAATGATAGTCTATCCATTCAAGCTCATCAAAAGTGTACTGCAACCGAGTGAGTGAAGTGGCTACTGAGGAAACGTAGCCCAAGTGATAATCCTCCAACTGAGTATACTCATCAATTGCCGTCACCAGGCGTGCATTGGCGAGGATGTCAGCAACACTCTCGGTGATATTCATTGGAAAAGGCAGGTGAGTGTAGCGCCCTGTTGTGTTGGAACACACGATGTGCTCCTGTGGGGGAAGAGACGGGAATACTCCGGCGGTGGGCAGTCGTAACGATGGGGGTATCAGAGAGAGACCAATAGAGGACTCCCCATCAGCCATGATCAGTGAGCAGTTGTCCTGTTCATCCTCCATACCGTGTTCAGAGTGATAGACGATGGACACCGAGGCAATCTCGAACGGTCGGAGGTTCAGAGATGACGCATTGATGGCAAATGCAGATTGGCACCATATAGGGGAGCTGGAGTCGCTACTCAGAGTGATGTGCATTGGGAGGGAGGTCCGGAATAATAAGGTGCGGCTGATGGTGGGCGCCAGGATAAGGCCACTGGCCTCATCTAGCCCTTCACCGAAGTCTATCCGGGCCTTGTCCACGAGCATATCTCCATCCGAGGTGGTCACCTAATGAACAACAGACATGGAGGATGGATACCAGCAAATAGGATGGATACTCCTGATCCCTGCATAAGCCCTTGCTGCTGTTTGCGCCTTATTCTGGCAGCCCGGAAGGATATCCCCTGTGGGTCTTCCTCATCCCACGACACGTTCACTTTCAAGTGGTATCCGAGTGTCTCTCCTTCCTTATGAGATACACCCCAAACAGCCTCGTATTGGCCCATGCCGGGTGGATAGAGGAGGACTAGGAGGAAGGGCAGAACCACACTGCGTTACACTCACCATCGTACCAGTCGGCTCGGCTGCACCAGGACTGATCTCAGGGAACCACACCCACCGCCTAGTCCTGGCCTCTATCAATAGACTCACTGCATCAATGCGATACCCAAAGATATCAGCTGGACCTGAGCGCTACCATAATGGTGATCACTCGGACCATTGAGTCGTATGGAAGTGAAGTCCATCCCTGCCTTGCCCTCGAGTCTGCCCATACTATCATCTCCCATCTTGCCCCCCATAATGGGATGAACTGCTGCGTCTTTGATGATGTGTAATAACTCAGTGATAGAGTCGAATAATTCTGGCATCTGCCGCAGCCGACTGATCCCGAGAGGCACTGCTGCCGGCCCCACCTCCTCCTTCAATGGACCCATGCTTGCCATTGCTGTACCAGCAGCTTGATGGGCCATGTACATAGAATCGTCTAGGCCAGAGGGGCTCACTGGTGATGGAGACCCTATAGGCATTCCAGAGTAACTGAGTAGCCTAGTAGAAGGAGTGGTCGGCGAGAGGCTGCTCACAATGGATGTGGCCAGAGGGTTCCGCTGCCGAAGGTGGGATAGACGCATAGAGCATCTGAAGGACAAGAGTGGACAGAGCAGACAAGAGAGGGAGAGCCACATTCAAGTCCGCATGGACATCTGTCACGGAACTCCGATACGGCTCCCATGAGGAGCGGTTCAGCATCAAGACCGTCGCCAGCAGCAGCAGCAGCAGCAGCAGAACGAGCGAATAGCATCGGAGTGAAGGAGCAATCAACACTGTATGCATGGTATTCTACATCACCTGAAGACGAAGGCATATAGAAAGGGAGAGGAGAGTATAATGACTACAGCCAATAGCCTTGCAGAAAGCTGAGGCGGCCTGTACGTCCTCAACATAGCCTTCCTCATACCCACTATCTACACTGTAGGTGAATATCTTCAATATTGCGAACCTTACTCGACCGACCCCTCCTCCTTTAACCATCTGATTAGAGTTCAAATCGCCTGTAAAGGAGGTATGTTGGTCTACCCCTTACCCCAATGATGGCGTTGGTGACGTAGTGAGAGAATGGGGTTTGAGCATATATAGCATCACCCTCATTGAGGGAGTAGTACAAGTCGCAGCCATGATGGAGAGGGGTAGAGCATCCATATCTGGGACAGTATCATCTGCCTACAGGGCTAGGGTCTTCGTACCCTTCGGAAGGGTTGGGGTTATTCCAGAGGACAGTAGTGATGTCGAAGTCCTGCCCTAATTCCTGTTCGATGAGTTCCATATTAATGCCAGAGCCGATGATACCCACGAGAAGAGGCCTACCCCGTGGCGCGACCTGAAGGTATGGGCACACTCAAATGACTATCGTCTCCCGTACTCGATGCCTCAATCTGGATATCTCACTAGCTTGGAGGACGCTGGTGCCGAACTGTTCTGACTTGAGCGCCCAAGAAGAGTTGAGGAAGGATGTCAAGTAATCCTCCTGATAAAAGCAGTGACGTTACCCGTTACAATGCTATGAACCCGTACAGTGACCCTTCTCGATGGATGTGACGGAACGGAGGTTTGAGCTGTAGAGGCCTGATAGTGCAGGTGATCACGAGTGACTCGTGATGCAGTTTACGTTGAGTGCCGTTCGGTTCCCAGTGCCTACCCTCTTCGACGGGTGCTCAAGCCGCGCTCTGTCCATGGGTCTGCGAGAGCATATAATAGGCTCATGGTCACGAAAGGTGATGGGTTAGCGATGCTCACTCATCAATGCTTAGCTTATCCGACAGTCTTTTGCGTCTGACTTGATTCGTATTGCTGCTGGAGAACTCCCATGCAATGGAGGGTGAGCGCAAAGGTAGGTCGAGTTCAGCTGCAATGACTCGAAGTGGCGAATCATGCTACTCCAAGGAAGACTCACGTATAGGCACCTCTACAAGTTTAGGCCAACTCTCATAAAACCCTACTTTCACACTCACCTACCAAGGCAAGAACAATCACTTGAGCTTCAGTGGTACCCATGATGGCTCACGTTAACCACAATGGGGACAGCCATTGTGTGGATGATGGTGATTGGTAAACAAACGTAGAGTGAAGTCAATACCATCCAACACCCCTTGGAGGCATCCGCTCTCATTTAAATGACAACACTGAAGAGGCAAACAAGCCTGAACTCCACAATAGGACATCTACCTTAGAGAAGCCATGAAGGTAACAATTTGAGTCGTGTCGGATACAACGCGTTCGCTAGCCAAGTGCCTTGAGCCGACCTCACACTCACTATCCGTGACAACGACACCATAACCGACTGCTACCACAAAACAACATCTTCGGTGAAGACATGCGAAGTAAATTTGTCGCATGCCAGCCCCGACAATTGCGAACAGTGGATAAAAGCTCTCCTATGCGTTATCCCGTCTCCTCTAACAACGAAGGCACACGTGCCCGATCCATTGCCATTGACGACACAAGCGTTAGTGAACAATAGAAATTTGAATGATAATAATAATGATGAACGATAGTCTTCCCTCGGGTGCTCTATTCCCTTGTCCTGGCGATGGTTATAAACATAAGACTTGATCAGCTGCCCACAGATATCATATCGAGAGCACTAGAGGCTCGTGGACGATCCCATGGATGCCGCCGTAGTAGGGATGTTACGAGGTTGACCATCCAGGAGGGAAGGGCTTCCCTTCTTGACAACTGATGGGAGATGTATAGGCGAAAGCTCATCAGCAACAAGGCTTACGTCTTCCAGAGGGAGATCACATCGAGCGATGGTGTTGAACAAGTTATTGAGATCAGTCGAATAGAAAGGTAATGTACCCACCAACATGGTCTACATGGAAAACAATACTACACCAAGGGCTACTTCTGATCGATCACAAGTTGTCCCCAACGAAAGTAAAGGAGTTGCGAAAGCACCTCCCAACCTTCCTTGGCTTATAGCCTCGGCAGGATACAAGAAGGCTTAGAGAAAACGGGCAGAGCACCAGGATGAGGCCGATATCAGAGCGAGTTCTTACCCAGAAGGTTATCCCAGCTGCCCACATATCCCCTTGGAAGGCCATACCCACACTAGGGGACGTCACTCCATCATCTAGTATAACACCCTTCAGGAACATCAACCGTTACAGAGTACTACTACTACCTCCATCAAGGGAGCTTGCATAGCCATCATCAGAAGACACACCACACATCTCTGGAGCTAGGAAGGGGTATGTACATCCCTGCAGAGCACGCGATATGGTGCCCACGTTGACATCCTATTACCAAGGTAGAGTCCGAGCCTATGGAGTCCTGCTCGTCGACTATCCTCGCTGAGCCAAAGTCACCTATGGACCAACCTTGGAGGAGGAGAGCACCGCACTAAGAGAGGCTACTGATACGAACTCTGCCTGCACTATCGACGAGGAGGTTCTCTGGTTTGATGTCTCGATGGACAACATGCCTACTATGGATGAACTGGAGGCCTTCCAATGTACCCACGATGTACTTCCTGAGGTTAATAAAGATTCGGGTTCGAATCCCACAGCCGACATCTGACCTCATCAGAGTATAGTCTGCTATGATAGGCTCATACTTCCGCTCAGTAGGATTCCACCTTTGAACAGACCCGCCTGGACAACAGTCCAAAACCTGTAACGACAAGTGCCGGGATCGAACCCGAGACCTATGCATTACCAAATACGTCTTCTGCCGATCTGGGTTGTAGAAGACGTCTCTAAGAGCTACTATAGTGGGATGGACTCCCAACTTCTGAGCAAAGAACGATATCTGAGCATCGACGGTTGAATAACCAACCTGAAGAATGTGGACTTCTCGTTGAAGCCCTTCCAATGCAGTATGGCGGACCATACCACCACTTGGGAGGTTATGGTAGAACTTCTGTCGCGATAGGGCAATATTACGGTATACCTTCATAACCTGCAAGGCACTTCCCTTAGCACTCCCCTTGCTTCTTACGAATTCTTCACCAGAGTCTCTTTTACAAAGTTTTATAGTCCTGTACGGCCCACGGTCGATTACAGCGCCTAAGGTGATTGAACACTCAATGTTCGTGGCACATCCTCACTACTCCAATACCGAGGTGATAGCCAGCGATAGTCTGAATGTCTCCCTCGGTGTCCTTATATGCTCTGGTATAGCAGCCTACTTCCGAGTCCCTCTTTAAAGCAATCATGTATTATATAAACTACCCGGACTATCCCAGAGGACTGTGAATACAACACTTCAAGGATGTGGGAAGCCACTCTCAGTTTCAAGAAAGAACACCATGTTGCCAATCGTAGCACTATACAATCAAACTGTAGGCCCTAAGAGCACAGGAGCTACAGTAGAGCTAGCGAACAGAGCTACCATACTATACCCGACAGTGGTTGGCCATGAGCACCTATGCACTGACCAATATGGTAACCGCTGTAATGGCCTTCCCGGCATTCTAACAGGCATCTCTACAACCCGATCATGTTCACCTATATCAGCAGGTCATATTTCTAGTCTGCCACTATGGTTTCCTCAACTAGCGGTAAGTCCTTTATTCTCACTCAAGATGATCTTTTCTACAATCCCTGCCGTACCGGGTGCCTCCTGGTTTGAGTTCGAGCCGAGAGGCCCCTCGGTATCGACCTCGGACCGGTGATGCCTCCGAGGCGGACTAAGAATCCTATCCAATCCAGCGCTATGTCATGATATTAGCTTTCCACACTACCGTACTCGGGTCGAAGGCAGTGAGAACTGTCCACGTGATATGTCCCCCAGGAGGCAGCCCACAACGTTGGACTTCCAGGTTCCATGAACTCTCTGCTGTCCCCGATAGTATCGTCTGAGTAGACATAACTACAGCGAGTATAATCCATGTTATGAGAGCTTCCTTCAGCTGAAAGGGTGTGATGTCAGTGCCATGGGGGAAACCAGCCATTGTCACTGTAGCGACTCAACGTGAATCAAGAGAGATCAACAGAAACACCACTTGAAGCAACATGACTAAGTCCTCTCTGTCCCCAATGGGAAGCGACCACTCCTATGTCGACTCCTAATAAAAGGCCACCCCTGTTGTAGGACAAGTTTGTGTAGTAACTACCTCTGTAACCAGAACTTGTATTGTTCCCTATTCTTCTTAGTCCGGAGCTTAACAGCCTCCTTAAAGCTAGCATCAAAGCCTCCACAGTCAGCAGTAGGGAATATAGCATACCTAGGTAGCAGTTAGTATAGGCATACTACTCAACAGAGTGAATACCTTCTAACCCCAGCCTCACCCCACCAACACGTCCAAGCCTTCTCCTTCTGGTCGAAGTGGACCCCCCGGACCCCCGAGGGGCACACATCAGGCCGAGCCCTCCCCAGCTTGCCTACCATCACCTCTCACCATATCACCCCTCACCGCATCCATCATTACCAGTTCGACGGAGTTGCCGGAAAAGGATAAGGGCCTCCATCCGGGCCTTCTCGAATTTCTCACTACGGCCCTTAACACTGAATTGTCTGAAGACTTGCAGGCCGTAACGATACCACA